TGAAGATAAACTCCTCATCCCTGAAGAAATGCATCTGTGAACAGATGGATCTCAAGACAAGGTGGTGAAATGAGTACCCCAATAGTACTGTTGTTCCGATCCAACCACCATTTGCAATTGACAATGTTACTCCTGAGTAACGAGACAGGATGATCCAAAGTATCAGAATGCATGATCCATTGGTTGCACAGTGACCACTGAGCAAACCTCGTATGTTCTTGTCCAAAAGGAATGAGAGGCTCAAGGGATGCCCACATCCCCAAAAGAAAGAGAAGGAAACATAAGTAAAAGCCTGATGGCTCTTTCCATGGCTTGAAGCCTGATAGGGGTTGGTTGAGTGCAAGTATTGAAAAACACACCCAGATGGATGAGGTACTGTGTCGGTGACAGAATAGATTTCTCCAGTCTGATAAGGGAGCCTGCTTTTATGGCTTCTGAAAGGAGAATCTGTGAGTGTTGTTCTGCTAATTGATGGGATGGTACCAGATGGAGCCAATCGTCCATATAATGATAGGTGCACAGGCCCAAGAAATGCAGATGATGAGAAAAAGCTCGAACAACTCTGCAGAAGACATAAGGTGCTTATGCAAGACCAAAAGGTAAAGCCCTGAACTGCAGCACCTAACCCTTGTGCACAAATCTGAGAAACCTCTGGGAAGATTCTGCTATGGGAATATGGAGATAAGCGTCGGTAACACCAACCTTTGTTAATCAGAGTCCTGGTGCAAAGTGCTATTGTAGGTTGACAAAAAGACTACATTGAAAAGCGAGGAGGATCTAAAAATTGGTTGAGTTGAGACAGATCGATAATTGGGCACCAATCTTCTGTCTTATTTGGTATAATGAATAAATGGGAATAAAATCTTGTAAGATCAGGATCGACCCTCTCTACTGCCCTTTTGACTAACAACTCTCTTATGGCCTGGGAACGAAGCTACACTTGCCGTGGATCTGTGCAGATAATGGTGGAGGTGATGTAAACTGAATGACTATCCCTGAAGCCAGAACATGGAGTACCCATGGATCCCTGGTGAAAGAACTCCAGATGTCCAAAAAGTGATGTAATCATGCTTCCCGGCCCAAGAGGTAGTCACTGATGCCATTGTCGATGGTCTGCCAGAGCTGAAGATCCTCGAGAATATGGACAGACTCTATTATGGGAACCAATAGACCTGCGAACTGAAGTAGGGATCAGAAAACACTATGAGCCAACACTCTCAAATTAGTGCCAGAAAGGCAAGAAGCCAACAATGATAAAGAAGAATGTAAACCAGCTGAATCAATTCCTGATTTTAACTTCTCTGGAACTCCGGAAAACAAAATGGGATGGAGAAGAGGAGCTTCCCATAACTCTCTGAGGGCAGAAGACGATAAAAGCCGTAGAAAAGAAAGAACTGAAGAAGACAAACTGGTGGTAGTAGATGTCAGCAAAATCCCCAACTCATCCTCAAATTGCTGAGGAGAACATTGATAAAATTCCAACAAAAGTTGGATTGAAGATAAGTACCTCAGGACAGTT